GTATTATTGATTAGAGACTTCTCGTGCAAACTGCACAACGATTTTTTTCAGAAATTTTCATGGTTCTTTTCTAGTCGTAACATAACAAAAAACAGCGAAAACTTCACCGTCTACAAGGATACTGATAATCGACTGACACTTTAAGTTTTTAAAGTAAAGTTGTAAAGTACCTTTACTTCGACTTTTAAACTTAAAGCCAACGCGCTGCTTATAAGAGAGATTCTAGAAGCGGCTTTTTCTGCTCGTTTCATATATTTTTGGTTCATTTTAATAGAAAAAAGTGTTCAGAAATGGTATCCGTTTAATTCAACTTGTATTATGTAAAATTCAGTGAGTGTTTGCCGGTGGGATAAATACGTGATTGTAATAAATAGGGCGTTTATGCCTTGTGGATAAGTTAATAACATCCTTTTTCAAATGTTCTCAGAATAATTTTGAAAATCAATTTCTGCTACTAATCATAGTAAGGAAGACTTTCCTGTTAACTTATCGCCGTCGACACTAAACAAAAATATCAATTGTTTGGCAAATAACATTCAGGCTAACATGTTCTGTATTTCAAAAAAATATAACTCATTTAGCTTATTTTTTTCGTGTCTAAAAACAAACATGTAGGTAAAGTAAAACAAATTGACGTAAAATAGGTCAGAATATATGTCATTTACATCGCGAAGTAAAAGTATTTCCCTATGAATGAAAATATGAAACTAATATTGAATGACTTATTGAAAACTTAAAAAGTTTAGCAATATTTTGTCAGTATACGTATTTGTAACAATATAGTAAACAGCGAAACATTCGTTGTCATTTAAAGAAAACAATGCATAGCAAATTTACATTATACCGTGAACTTATTTAGTTCGCCATGTAAAGATAAGCATATAAAATCTTAATATTAAAAATAACATCGCTTATCTTTCATTATCCATTCGTGATCAGTATATATGTATCAGTTTCTTTGCAAATAACACGAAAAATATGCGCAATCTTCAAATATGTGGTAAGTACGATGCTAAAAGACCACAGACTGTGTCAACAATTTCGATTATTTTCTGTGATTTAAATAGTCTTTACGGGGATTTTGGCTTCCCTAATAACTTTTACTATTGGCACGCCAAGAAATTTCAAAAGCATCAATACGGATATAACTGGACAATCCAGTAAGATTGAAATTAATACTTGTCGCTTTTATTACATATATATTTTTAAAACTCTCTTGTTTAAGGATCGATCTGTCGCACGCCATATGGTCCATCGAGTAGATATTCAACTGGTTGGCTTCCTGTCTTCGTTACATCAGGCGACTTTAATAATGACAAAAGACTTGATGTAGTAACAGCCAATCTTTATGACAATACCATAAGTGTGCTATTGGGTAATAGAAATCAAACGTTTCAGAAACAATCCGTGTATGCGACTGGTAGTGGCCCAATATCTATTGCAGCTGGTGATTTTGATAGTGATAGTAAGCTGGATCTAGCAGTAGTCAATGTCGATGACAGTAGTTTAAGCGTACTACTCGGTAATGGAGATGGAACGTTTCAGAATCAAACTATTTATTCAACTGGTAATCTGCCAAAGTCTCTTACAGTGGGTGATTTCAATAAAGATAACAAACTCGACTTGGCAGTTGTTAATCAACGAGATAATAACATCATTATATTCATAGGTAACGGAGATGGTACTTTTCAGCGTTCATCGGTATTTCCAACTGGTATTCGTCCAGTATTTGTCTTAGCTATTGATTTAACTAATGATAGAAAACTAGATCTAGTGGTTGCAAACTATGGTGACACCACTGTAGGTGTCCTACTTGGAAATGGTGATGGAACATTTCAAAATCAAATGATCTATTCTACTGACCGTGGTCCATCGGCTATCGTAGCAAACGATTTTAATAATGATAAAAAACTGGACCTTGCAGTGATTAATAATGCTGACGACTCTATGAGTGTACTGTTAGGTAATGGTGATGGAACCTTTCGAAGTCAGAATAAATTTTCGGTTGGCAGTAGTCCGGTATCTATTACAATCGGTGACTTCAATAAAGACACGAAATTAGATGTAGCGATCAGCAATTTTGGAGAGCATATTCAACTTATGGATAACTTGAATACTGCCAGTGTGTTGCTTGGAAATGGAGATGGTACCTTTCGAAATCGAACTATTTATCCTACAGGTAATGCTCCATCATGCATTATAGCGGGTGATTTCACTCAAGACATGAATTTGGATCTTGTAATAAGCAATATGCTTGACAATGATACAAACTTGCTACGTGGTAATGGCGATGGAACGTTTCTAAATCAAAAACAATACGTAACTGGCAATGGCCCAATGTCCATCACAACAGGCGATTTCAATAATGACATGAAATTAGATCTAGCAACAGCGAATCAATTAGATGCAAGTGCTAGTATACTACTTGGTAATGGAGATGGAAGTTTTCAGAAGCAAACTAACTATTCCACTGGCAAGAACGCATCATCTATCTCAGTAGGCGATTTCAATAATGATAAAATCTTAGATTTAGTCGTAGCTAATAGTGGTAATAACAGTGTTAGTATACTAATTGGTAATGGGGATGGAACATTTCAGAAACAAAAAGTGTATTCAACTGGGGAGAATCCAAACGCTGTAGTCGTAGCGGATTTCAATCACGATTCAAAACTTGATTTAGCAATAATAAATTACAATGACTTCAATGTTAGTATATTAATAGGTAATGGAAACGGAACTTTTCAGCGTCAAACTACATATTCGGTTGGAGATTACCCAGGTTCCGTTACAACAGGTGATTTTAATAATGATAATAATATCGATTTAGCCGTACCCAATTATTCTTCCGACACTATAAGTGTACTGCTTGGGAATGGAGATGGAACATTCCAGAAACGTAGCACGTATCCAACTGGTAGTTCACCAATATTTATTACAGCAATGGATTTCAATAATGATACTAAACTAGATTTAATAGTGAATAATCAGGGAGAGAATAGCATTAGTATACTATTAGGCAATGGAGATGGTACTTTTCAGTCCAGAAAATCGTATCTAAGTGGTCCTTATTCATATTCATTTTTTTCAGCTGATTTCAATAACGATAGTAAACTTGATGTGGCCGTAATAAACCTTTTAGATAACAGTGTCAGTATATTACTTGGTAATGGAGATGGAACTCTGCAACAACGAATCATCTATTCCGTTCAGGGATTTCCTATCTTCGTAACAGGAGGAGCTTTCACAAATGATAACACCAAGATCGATCTTGTACTGGCTGATCTCGCAAATAACAATGTTGCTATACTTTTGAATACATGCTCGTAACTCTTTCATTTAGTAAGAAATAAAATACAAAGTCTTTGAAAACAAAATATTTTGTTCATTTTTTTGTGTAATGATGGAACACAATGGAAGGCAAAAAGACGAATCAATTATCTAGTTTGCGCTTATGATTACAAACAAAGATTGGATGAGTAAAAATTCTGCAAGTATAAGTTGAAATACTTGTACTACATGAATAATAGTTTGGACTTTCATTTAAATATAATTAATTAAGTACATCCATCCTCACCCACAAGTAAAACACTTAATTTTATTCGTACCAAATGCTAATATATTAGTATTTTTATGTTCAAATAGTCAGCACACATCTGAACTTAAAGATACTATATAATAGTATAAACCGCTTACGTAGATCATCGAATGCTGTTTGTGTTTACGTAACTTTTTCGTTGAATTGTGTGAGTATTTTCAACGCAATACATAATCATTGTAATGAAAATTACTGTATATAAATCCTTTTAGTCGTTATTAACTGAAGTATGACTTATTAAAGATCATAACTACGAATAACAGTTAACAAGTGAGCGTATGTAGCTATAGAGAAAAACGAGATCCTCGAAACACTAAATACCTAATACATAATCAACCTCAATTTTTTTCTGTTTCTCTCCAGTTTATATGTCTTTATAAACAGATATTACACGGGTATACAATTTTCGGTGTTGTCTATAGTCAAAGTAGGATGCACATTTGAGGACATGCAGACTTTACAAAAGGGTGAAACTTCCATTATAAACGCAGAGTTTGTGCCAAGAATAGTGACTGAGCACATTTAAACAATATAACAATCAATATACATTTGTTCTTTCGTTGATGTACTTCCTCTACACAAGGGCTAAATATAATGGTGGCCTAGTTTGGCAGGCACAAACGCATACACATCAGATAATATTATAAAAGACTTGGTAAATCTAAATTTGAATTTGAATGAAAATGCTTTAACTCAACAGCGCTCAACGACTTTTCTCAATGGCAATGTCAATACCACTCAACTTAATAGTGACATATTTCATATGATCTTTCTTTCTTTTTTCTACGTCTAAAGTCACAATCATTTCACACCATATGCAATCAACTCTAAAAATCACCATTTCTTAAACAAATAATAATCATCATCATCATCATCAACATTCACTTTCTCTTTTCTTTATTTTTTGCGTGTCTACAAATCTTGATTTACTTTTTTNCTCAATGGCAATGTCAATACCACTCAACTTAATAGTGACATATTTCATATGATCTTTCTTTCTTTTTTCTACGTCTAAAGTCACAATCATTTCACACCATATGCAATCAACTCTAAAAATCACCATTTCTTAAACAAATAATAATCATCATCATCATCATCAACATTCACTTTCTCTTTTCTTTATTTTTTGCGTGTCTACAAATCTTGATTTACTTTTTTTCTTCTCCTTTTCCTTCTCTCGACTTCACGAAGAATTCCAGTCAGTCATTCATTCTTTTCTTGTGTTTCTCTTTTCAATCGTTTTCATCCTCACAACCATCAACAACATGCCTGTTCACCTTCTCAACCATCCGTGTTGATGTGTTGTTGTTATTTTCGATTACACAAAAACATCATCCTTCTGTTGCTGTTTTTCCACTTTGTTTTTTGTCTGATTGTGTTCGTTCGTGTTTGACAGATCTGAACAATGATTTACAATCGTGAAAATAATGAGTGGATTCCACGACCATCATCTGCACAAGGTAATCTTCAGAGTCATCCATGTTTTCAGTCCAGTCTTCTCGATGATGGACATGCACCCGGAAGTGTCGAACAGTGGAAAAAATCTTCATCTTCCCATCGACCACAACTTCGAATGACGAATGTCGATCGAGAGGCAGAAGATTATGATCAAAATCTCGAAGCCAAAGCCTATTTTCAATCTGTAAGTCAACCTCCTCCTCTTCTTTCTCACGTGAATAACATTTGATCGTCTAGTTCAAACATCTGAGACGATTGACGATCGCTAATCCAAACAATATTCAACAGTATGAGGTGATCTTACTGAAAAGAGCAAAGAGCTATGCGCTGGTTGGTCTCAAAGGAGAAGTAAGATGAATGATCGGAGATCTGTGACGATGATGATTGATTTAATTTGTGTGATAGTTGAAATCAAACGAAGAAGAAGTAGAAGTAAGAATAGATGTGTGAGAGTGTGAAGAATGATGTGGCGTTGTTTGTTGATAGCATGGCAGAAGTTCACCAACAAAGAAGACAAACAAAGTAGGTGAAAGGTGTTGGTGTACACGAAGATGTTGAATGTGTGTCTTTGATTGATTTAGAACCAAGATATTGACGAACAAGAAGATCTACAAGTACAACTTCAAAGATCATAAAGTGAAAGAGCACTTTCGATGTGTTGTAGATCGAAGAAAGACTCGATATCAACACACTCGAAGCAATCAAAAATGCATTCATGCAAGACTTATCAGAATCGAAATCGGCATGGATGAAGAATGTTCATGTCGATGCATCGGGACAAATGACATTGCAAGACTTCACTCGAGTTCTCAAACGATATGTTGGACGACGTCGAGGAGTAGGTGTCATTGCATCCTCCTCTACCACCCTCCCTTCCTTCCTTCATTCTTCACAACAGATCGATGAACAAATCGAGAATCTGTTCAACAAGATCGATTATAATGCTGAAGAGTTGATCTCGTGGGATGAGCTGTGCACATATCTACAACTGAACTTTGACGAGAAATCAGATGCTGAACAACGTGCAAAAGAAGTATCATTCGTCATTCCAGCAAAGATTCATAAAACACCACATCGACATCCATGTTCGACTATCGCTCTCTCAGCTGATCATCAATATCTGGCATTGGGAAGTGTGAGTGTCTGCAAGTATTGTTGTCCTTTGTTGTCATGTGCTGTATGAATAGGATGGAACGATCTCAGTTTGGGCAACGAATGGTGAACCGAAAACAACCAAGTCGATTGCCGTGAGTAACTGAGAGAAACATGAGGAGAAGACGACAAAACAAATGTGCCGTTGTAGTCAAGTGCAGGTATTTCTCAGACTTTGACTGCAAGAGAACGACTCGAAAGGGTGAGATTATCTCTTCTTCTTCTTCTGCACTTCCTTCGACATCAGAATGATGAAATTGTAGAGAAAAGATCAACAAACACGATCTCAACCGAAATGGATCACTGATTGTCAAGTCATTCCTGAGTTCAACAAAGTCGTTGTCAGTACTGGGTAATAATAAGTTCTTCTTCTCTTCTTTCTATAACGTCGTCTCTTCTGTTGTTGCTGTTGGTTTGTAGAGATCGTGAACTTCAGTTTTGGGATCAAGCATATTGTTTGAGTACGAATCGAGAAACCAAACCAAACGAACTTCCATGTACACAGATCTCTTCACTTGACAGTGCACCCATCAAACTCAACTATGGGTAATCAGAATAATAGCTCCATACTATCTCATTCCTCAGATGATGATGGTGTTGTTGTTGTTGTTGTTTTGTAGAATTCCATCTGCAGAAGAGTTGTTGCTTGTGTATGGTGATACCGAAGGATGTGTCAATATTTTGATCCTTTTTGCTGCTCGAGAGATCCTTCGATTGTTGACGAATGCTGAGCGGAAGAAAGGTATTCCTACAATGCCATTCGATCGTTTTCTGGAGACGTTCAAGTGTGATTATGTTCGATGGCAAGTTCATCGAGAATGGATTGGTGAGTCGAGTGAGAGATGTAGATGTGTTTTTGATCCGTTGTGTGTGTGTGTTGGTTGCAGAGGGTGTGAGTTATGATCCACGATTGAATCAGATCGTTTCATGTTCGAATGATGCTCAAACAGCTGTCGTCATTGGCTGTATTCGAACGAGTCCAAGCGCCGAGATTCAGCTGACAGAAAGTGGTTTTTCTGAGCTCAAGTCTCGTTCGGTGAAATCAGCTGATCCCAAGTCACGTAAACATCGAACAACGGCACTGACAGGTGAGTTTCGAGGTTCTTACGTTTGAGGGTGTGAGGGTGTGATATGCAACGATGAATAGATATTACTGAAGAGAAGGCGACATCGACATCATCTCGTGTTCAATCGAAGCGTAGTTCGACAGCATCTCATCATACTCCTTCATCTCAAGACGCTCATTCACGAAAAGCAACTGCAAATGAGACTGAGGGCAAAGCTGAAGCAGCAAATGCGACCGCAGCAGCGACAGTGTCGGGAAGTGGTAGTGGAAGAGGAGGATTAGGTGGAGTTCGTTCTCCAGCGATTGTTCGAACTCCTCAGATCCGCTGTGAAGCTGATCAAATAGTGTTCAAAGTGCAGAAAGGTGTTCGAACATTTGATCTGTGCACGGAAAAGAATGTTCTTGTGACTGGTGGAATGGATCGAATAGTGAGAATCTGGAATCCATATTTGCCATCTCGACCGATCGCTCGACTTCGTGGTNGTAGTGGAAGAGGAGGATTAGGTGGAGTTCGTTCTCCAGCGATTGTTCGAACTCCTCAGATCCGCTGTGAAGCTGATCAAATAGTGTTCAAAGTGCAGAAAGGTGTTCGAACATTTGATCTGTGCACGGAAAAGAATGTTCTTGTGACTGGTGGAATGGATCGAATAGTGAGAATCTGGAATCCATATTTGCCATCTCGACCGATCGCTCGACTTCGTGGTCACAATGCGCCTGTATTTCTTGTGAAGATTGCAGTGGAAGATAATCGATTATTTTCGATTTCAATAGACAAGGCAGTTCTGGTAAGTGATATGTTGATTATTTCCTTTCGTGGCAATACACTGCCATATATACGTTTATTAGTGAAACTTTCCGAGTAACAGAAATGAAAAAAGAGCAGAAATAAGCTTTAATTGCGTCTAGCCTGATATAATATCAAGAAGCGATTTTTCCCTCGTTAACTCAGTTTTGTTCGGCAAACTTGTTCGCTGTAGTGCTGGGATTGTTGTATGCAAAGCTTTCGGAGGTGGAAGCGTTACTGTTTCATTGGGTAGAGCATTAAGAAAAGAAGGAATTTCCGTAAGACTGTAGTTGAAATGATTCAGTATCCAATCCATTGCGAATTTATCTGTTCGAAGTTTTCCCTGTCGCGTATATAAACGTACTGCATACATCCACGATATATCATTCCATGTCGAATGATATTTCATATTGGCCCATTTATAGGTTTTTTCGAGAGGAGTTTTCCATGAATTATTTGCATATTCGATATTGAGATACCCCACAGGCGAACATGGAACTGAGAATCGATGACCAAAAAGATTACATGAACAGAGCTTTCCGAGTAGTGGAAGAGTACGTCTAAAACATAGCAGACACAATCCGAAACTATATTTGTTTCTAAAGTTTGTCGTTAGTTGACCGCAAAAATGAACTTTAAGTTGTTCGAAGAATATACCTATACTTTTTTCTATATATCTGAAAACCGAACCATCGATGGTTATGCTCACGATACGCCCAGAATAGATCGATTGTATAACGGCCTGAGTACAGACGAAACTCAAGTGAATCGTTGACCTATTTGAAATGAACCTATATGTACAAATAACCGAAATGATTATCGACTCACAAATCCTAATGCACTCCAAAGAGGAATAACAGGATTTCCGAGAAAATGATTCCGTATACTTTCGTCATATTCTTCAGCATATAATCCAATATCTGTATCTTGTGTAAATGGGATTACACCACAATGTCGATACCAACCTGTGAATTGAGTTTTTTCTTCTAAAATCGAATCAAATGTAGTACGATCATACCTAGCAGAGCTCCACCAGCTAGCCAATAGCGTTTTTCGAGTTTATCAAGTGTATGGATAACATGTAAGATTGGCTCAACAGTACTGTTGTACTTTGTGCCATTCTGATATAAGTGATACTTGTTTTGCATTCTATTTGCCAATGCTCGATTGCAGTGAAGAAATTCCGATGTTTTGTACAACCACAAAAAATGCGACACATTCCGTGGGTGGTAAAACAAATACTCGTGAAATTCGGTGTCAATACTAGAAACAACGAAACACGGCATGAATAGCTTTTCGTACTTGTAAGAAATGTTACTGATCAACAGCACGTAGTTTGTCACCAAAAGGTAGTTGAACATTGTCGTCATCAGAGAATCGAAGATGATTGGGTTGGACAAGGTAGAACGAGTAATATTTGTGTAGAACGGCTAGATGAAGGATTTTCTGTTGATATGTGATAAAAATATGATCAATGGACATCCGATGATTTGCGAGAGTGGTTGCTGATGTCTGTATAGAGAAATGGGACATTTGTTGAAGTGTTTGCAGTAATCGCTGAACCGATTGGTCGAAAACAGCAAATGTTACTAACTGTTCGTTAAGTTCGTCCAATGATATGTGATCGATAAATAGTCGATTCAACGCACTTGGATCGATTAAAATAATATTAAAGCTCATTTGATATAATTGACTAATTAGATAGTAAAACGTCGAGTTGGATCGATATTTATATCGATTTGCTCTCTATAGAGGATGAATTCACTGTTTTTGCATGCGAGAATGATGCTTCTTACTTGAACTTCGCGAATCTCTGATGATTTTCTTATATTCCCGAACACCAGCCATATGATAGCATAGACCAGAAATAAGAATATCAGGAATCTTTTATTGCGATTCAATAAACGAGTTAAACTCATTAAATCCAAATAAACTCAGTAAATGAATATCGTTAGAGATGTCTTTGAAATGTACTTTATTTAGCGCTCGGAACAACAATGAAGAACGTTGTTGTACACCCTGAAATGTGACTGTTTTATGTAGTAACGATGAAAATGACTTCAGCAGAGCCATTTCTGCAACTTTGTTTTGTTTTCATACAGCATTTCTTTTTCGTTTAACGTGAGTATACATTTTAAACAGAAGGAGAGATTCTATTTGCACACACAAACCTGAAACATGTTTTTATACTCGTTTTCTTTTCAAATTCTTCACAAATGCACATGTTAGTTCCTTCAAAGTTTATTTTTCCTCTTTGATGCCTAGATTGGCATGAATTTTTGAATAAGTTACAAACACAGAAAAGACCAAAGCATAAACGGTTTACGAGATTCATTTCAAGTAGATTATCGGTGCTTCTTTAGCAGTTCCATAGTTATTGTACGGTTTATACTCAAGCGTACAGATATTGAAATTTAATGTGACTGTTGACACTTTTTAGCATAATGACAGTTTTCGCCAATTTTGTTTTAGGTATGGGATTTAATTGAATACACACTTCTCGCCTGTATTCGACCAAAAGTCCACAAAATACGTGGAGATCTACAAGCTGTCTCTTATAATCATCATACACATTCTATTCTCTTTGTTGCAAGTGAACAAATTTCATTTCTTAATCTCAAACTACGGTCAGTCCTCCCT